CCCGCCTGGGAGGTGGCCCGTCGGGCCTATTAAGCACGTGAAACGTGACGTACATATAGACTTACGCCCCGTACATCGTACGTTTTGTATTTCGTGCATATATGGTAAAATCAAGTTTTATTGTATTTAAAACCTTTTAATTACATTTTAAATGGTTTTCTGGAAGATTAGAATCTGATTATCTCTTTAAAAGGATAGTAACCCATAATAGTCAAAGATATGATACAGCCCTTTGCACTGCTTATAAACAGTTGAAAGAGCTGACTGCATCAGACAGAGGGAAATGAAATGCCACGGTCAAAAAAACGAACCCCATGGAGATACAACAGATAAATGTGAAAAGAAAGGCATTACAGAAAGAAGCTTAAGAAAGCAGAAAGTTTGAAAAAATCAAGCGAGCTAACACACTCATATAGAGATAGTCGAATATGGGTACGACAACCAGTTGATAACGATGAAAAAAAGCGAAGGAAAACAACAAATCGTTCAAACCTGTAAAGAACTCATTCAAACGGCAGAAATGAAACTAAAGAACATAAAATAGAAAACAGAACAAATATATGGCTCCAAAAGAATTCATTTTCCCGATAGAGGAGAGGAAATGACAACAGTTTACTGCACACACATAATTTTTTGATATCAACAATCAAGAATACTATATGTTGATGTACAGTTTTAAAACAGAATAACACAAGAGATTTATAGCGGGAAACAGGTGATTCGTTGTGAAGACTTGCGCCTATGATGAATCTAACAAAAGTTTCATCAAGAAACGCATAAATGCTCATATTAAAATGCAAATTTTTCAAAAAAAATAAGAGAAAACAGAAAAAAAATAGTTGGGAAATAATAAAGATTTTTCAAATTTAATTGGTCCCGACACGAGTTTAATAGAGGATAAAGCAAAAAATTCAAAAAAAAGTGCGATTTTGAGCGTCATAAATTAGCCTCCCGCTTGGGAGGTGGCCCCTTGAGGCCTATCAAAGTGCAGATTGGAACGTACTCGTAAACGTGTGCACCGTACGTGAATAAATGAAAACTACGTGCTACTATGTTTCCTTTCGCGATTTCGAAGCAGTTCGAGACGCTAGAAACTGTTTCCTATTCCACGTGCTTCACATAGAGAGCGGTTTTAGATGAATTTTTTTTTAACGTGCTTCACACTGTGAGTGGTTGCTAGCCATTTCATTCTTCACTTACTCACCTAAGTGAGCGGTGGTAAAAGCGTTGTCATTTTCGCGTTTACAGCGCAGTAAGCAATACTAGAAGCTGCCTCATTTTTCACGTACTTAGTTCAGTGAGCGGTGTGAGAACCTGTTATAACATATATTCTATCCGTTGGGTTTCAGACTTCATGGTAGCCAGTGTTAGCTTAGTTTTCCGGGAAGGTTATACTTGTTCTCATGAACTCGAAACGAAACTTCATTTGCAGAAGCGTTAAAAATTGTTAAGAAACGTTGGCAATTCAGTTTACTTGCATTGGTTTTCTAAAAATATTCCTGATTGACTGATAGTTATCTCACACTGGTCAGTTCTCGTTGTGATAGTTTTACTGTCGGAGATTCATGTACTGCCGTCTTCAACAAAGGCCATGTTAGAAGAAGGTATGTGAACAATTTTAACATGTCGAGGTTCTGTGTAGTTATGATTCAATATGAATTCGTAATTAACATGCTCACCGGCAGGATATCCAATTTCCATTGCAGATCTGCAGAAAACAACTCGAGGAACATGAGCGTAAGCGAATCTCAGCTCAGCAGTAAATGTTAGTAAAAAAAGCTGCATCGCCAAAATCATCAGCCATTCGGTACTTATGAAAACCGTCTGATTGAATGAAGCCTACAAAGGTATCCATACCAGCCGGAGTTTAGCATTGATTACCTGATTATCCGAGTAGATTGTCTCATGCACTTCGAATAAGTTGGTACCATTGTTTTTTGATGGATTCAATACTAGAGCAGCCTCATCTGAATTGAGAACTTTGGAAGCTGGAGAAGATGTGTAAACTACGTAACACCACAAAAAATGTTGCTAATATTGCCAAGAACAACCTTAGAAAGTTGACGAACGTTGATGCCATGTGAGGAATCATTGCGAATCTGTAACCGAGTGATGATACGATTAGTTCTAGCGTGTTACCCTATGACAACTTGGCCCCAACTATAGACAATTTGTGTGAGAAAAGTGAAAGCAGCCGCTGTGTCATGTATTAATATTGCTTCTGTTTTCTAAGAAACATCTTATTCCAAACTTGTTAGGATATTTGGTTCACCGGAAAATTCGCAACGACCGTAAGAGATACTGCACTTATGATGCCAACCCACATGAATATCAGTGAGCAGATTCGCCATCTAAACGTAGATGAAGTTGCTTTCAAATAAGATAATCTCACGCATTTCCTTCCCATTGAAGACGATGTGCATAGTATTCAACGGTTTGTCTGTGGCGAACATAAAACGTTAAAATTACTGGAAAATAGCAAAATTATTATGCCTTTTATCGAAAACAAACGAAAGAACGCCGAAATATTCAAAAACTGGGAGAACAGACAACTCTCAGGACTATGTGATCCAGCCGTGCTGTAAACTATGCAACATTACTGAGCCTTGCATTATTCAGAACCTAACACTAGTAATCCATGTTTTCAAGTGGCCGTCCATGTTACCAACGATTAAACTATAAATTCAATCAAAACCTGGATAGAAAACAAGAGCTATACCTTGATAAAAAAGCTAATGTTGATGTTACTACAGCCATAACAGGCACTAACCATACTTTCCTAACCACCATTTTTTTATGAGGAAAAGAAGCTTGCTGAGGGCAGTTGTTACAAAAAATCTAGCCACGCAAGAAGAAAAGTTGAAAATGTTAATCAGAAGAATATGTATTTTAAAGCTAGAGAGACAGTGAGAGCTATCGTTCCATTACCCATTTCCTGATAAGAACTTTACTATCACAGTTCTGTAATGGAGGCTGCACAGTGTCGCATGTTTTCGAGCTTAGAATGCGCATTATTTACTTTCACTGTTTATACAAAAAAATCAAAATATTGACAGCTAGAACTGATAAAAGAAATATTTAGTGTTTATTGAGGACTGCGGTCACTTCTCCTAAAAAACATTAATAGATAAGGCAGGCGGTCACAAAAGCTACAAATACTTCGGTTATTAAGACTCAACAGAACCCATATCCCACATTGTTTTTGCGATGTTCTCATCTAACCTACATCTATCCTACTACAATCACATTAGTAAAAGTTAACATTTCATGACTACAAAGAAAATGGTTAAATTGAAGACAAAAAGAGCACAGTTGTGCGGGCAATGCATTCGCAAAACATTGCAGAAAACGAGAAACCGCCTAGTACCGGAAATATTCAATATTATTATAAAAAAGAACTAGAAAAAACTACAGCAAGTAACAAGCATGGGTACGAACAAGAGAATCAGTGCTTCAACCGTTCCGGTGAAAGCTTACGTAAACTAAACTCATGAATCGAAAAAGATAACATTTAAGCCTTGAATCCTTCTAGTTGAGTTTTAGGGACATCGAACGTTTTACTTAGCATTTCTTTCTGCTCCTGAACGATAATATTGTAACGATAACATTTCAGAGAAGAAAAAAAACTGTCTTAAACTTCAACGAACCTGAAGATGAGTATATTTGTTACCAGTAGCTGGGGAGGCAGATGGAAGACGTCCAGCGTATTTGATTCCTCTGCTATCGCCAGAGAGAAGAGAGTTGAAACGAGGTTGAACGAAAGTCCAAGCCCCCATGTTCTTATGTTCCTACAATGATACCATATCAAGAAATCAACCAAGCTACTGAAAATACCTCTTGGGCCCACACAATTTCAGCTCCAGAGTATTTTCTACATTCCTCTTGAATGATATCGTAAGGGAAAGGTGAAAGTTGTTCTACTCGAGCTAAAGCGACATTATTTTCAAGACCAAGATGCTTGCGGGCAGCCACTAAGTCATAATAGACTTTTCCTGAAGTGTGTGTGGTGTACAACTTGCTCAATGTGCGTAATTACCTGTACAGAAGATGAGGCGACTGACTTGCCCTGGGTTGTGTACGAGATCAGTTCCATTCTCGGGAATAACTCTCTGGAAGTGAGTTCCCGGAACAAAGTCTTCGATTGGAGAGCGAGCCAAAGGATGACGAAGAAGTGATTTAGGTGACATAACAACAGCAGGTTTGCGGAAAGGCATGGTAACCTAAACAGTAAGCTATATAAGTACACTATGCTAGAACCTAACCTGTCGCCTCAATAAATGATAGATATTAGCAGGGGTAGTACAGTTAGCGACAATCCAATTAGTGTCGTGAAGTTGTTGGGCTTCGAAGGTTCCTCCAAAGGCTGTTTTCTATAAATGAATCAGTTTGACTGTCGTAGTTTGCGGATGATCATAATTATGATATAGATAAACTAACAGAGAGATCAATTTCGTCGTCTTCGTTACACATTTGTAAAAAGCGCTCTGGTCTGCAAGAAGAGTGTTCTGGACCCATTCCTTCGTAACCATGAGGCAAGAGCATCACAAGTCCAGATTGACGGATCCATTTTGATTGTCCTGAATTTTTTTTGTTTTTACTTTCGGAACATTTTTCTCATACCTGAAGAAATGAATTGATCAATGATACATTGAGCTGTGTTGGAGAAATCTCCGAATTGGGCTTCCCAGATAACGAGTGAATTAGGATCTACCATAGAGTATCCCAATTCGAATCCAAGAACAGCGTATTCGGAGAGTGAAGAGTTGCAAACAGTGTACTCAGCTTGCGTGGGAGACAAATCGTTCAAAGGATTGTAAACTTTTTGATCAACTTTTTGATCGTGAAGAACATGATGTCTGTGAGAGAATGTTCCACGCTCGACATCTTGACCAGATAGACGGACGTGAGTACCTTCCTTGAGAAGAGATCCAAAGGCAAGGGCTTCTCCGATAGACCAATCAACCTTCAAATAATTAAACATCAAAAGATTTGGTCATGTTTTCACATACTGAGTTATCAGTGACCATCTGACGACGTCCCTTCAATGTTCTCTCCAGACCACGGTGAAGATTGAATCCATCAGGAACAGAACTAGAATAAATCTTGGGAATTTCTAAAGGGAAAACTAATACCTGAACTTTTCAATGATAGCTTCGATTTCTTCACGTTCAATGCCAGTGGATGGAAGCTTCAGAGGATCACGTTTCTTGAAGAAATCATCCCAGGGGGAATCGAGCCAATCACGATGTCTAACGAATGTGACCTTCTGCGCGTTTTCGTAAGCTTCTTCCAAAATGGATCCGTATTTGCTTAATTCTTCCTGAAAACAATCAAATTGAGAAAATTAAAATACAAGTTGAATACTTTAATATATTGCTCATCAGCAACACCATCGCTGATAATTTTCTCTTGATATTTCTCTAGGGCCGTGGGAGTTTGCTTAATTTTTTGGTACATAAGTGGTTGAGTGAACATGGGCTCATCCAACTCGTTGTGACCATGTCTTCAAACAAAAGGAATGATTAGATCACTGAGCTTGAGCGAACCTGCGATAGCAGACCAAATCAATAATTACATCCTTCTTGAACGTTTTTCTCCAGTCAGAAGCTACATTACAAACGTGCATTACGGCCTCTGGATCATCAACGTTGACGTGGAAAATGGGGCAACCAACAACACGTCCGACATCAGTACAATATGGTGAAGATCTAAGAAAAAATGTTGATGGAAGTTGAAAGAAAGGTATTTACCTGCTGGATCGTGGATCAGTTGTGAAACCAATCTGATTATTGCAAACAATGTGAACAGCACCATGAGTAGTGTAGCTAGGAAGATCTCCGAGATTGAAAGTTTCCATTACAACTCCTTGTCCGGAGAAAGCAGCATCTCCATGGAGAAGAATAGCCATAGATCGATCGCATTTCTTATCCCCAGCATAGAAAGCTTCGGCACGTACCTAAATAAAACGAATAAAGGCTAATAACATTATGCTACATACTTTTCCTTGAACGACAGGATCAACGGCTTCCAGATGGGATGGGTTAGCAACAACAGCAATTTTGATGTTTCTTTGGGATTGACGGTTCAATCTCTCGATACATACTCCCAAATGGTACTTGACATCACCAGATCCTTAGAATATTTATGATTGCAAAGAGAAAAAAATGCTCACCTTCATCAGCAGGTTCAAGAGTGGAGAACTGAGAAAGAATAGTGGAGAGAGGTTGACGACATACATTAGCGAGAACATTCAAACGGCCACGATGTGGCATTCCAATTACAACAGAATCAACTCCAAGGGAGGAAGAAGTATCGATGATCTGATGAAAAAAATGATATACGAACAAAACAACTAATACAAACCTGCTTGATAGCAGGGATCAAAACTTCACATCCCTCTAAACCGAAACGCTTCTCACTTGGCCATTTCTTAGCGAGAAACTCTTCGAACTTGGTAGAACGGATAAGTCGTTTGAAAAGAACCTAAGAACATTAATCATCTCTAAAGTTAATTTGATACCTTTTTTTGATCATGAGAAAGTTCAGTAGCGCGGGGAGCTTCGAAGCGTTGACGGATCCAATCTTGTTGCTCCAAGTTGTTCAAGTGCATGTACTCTACTCCGGTAGTTTTGCAATAAATTTGCTTGAATCAAACAGTTTTTAAGATCGAAAAAATCATCTTACAAACCTTGAGTCGCTTGAGGATATCGCGAAGAGTCAAAGATTTCTGATCTCCACCAATAAAAGTAGTTGGAGGTAGGATGAACTCTCTGAATGAATAGTAGCATATAGTAGAAAAATTTTTTCTGTCCTATTACCTATCAAGATCACGTTCGCCAAATCCATAGAAAGAAAGTTCGAGCTCAGGTGGAATGGTGTCATCAAGATCAGCACTGTTAATTCCAAGAGGATCAAGATCGGCGATGTTGTGACCGCGAGTCTTAAAGTTTCAGCCATGAAGAACATAATAATAAAAACCGCAAACCTGATAACTTCTGATCAAAAGTTGAATTTTCAAATGATCACTGATTGATTGAACGGATGCTGATAAGTCAACACCAGAACTTTAAATAATTTCTTGTCAAGAAAAAAATAGGATTTAGAACTTACTGTGAAGCAGCAGAGTGAGCTACAGTTGAACCTGCATGGGGAACAGGTGCAAAAGCTTGTCCTGGACCTGCACCGGCTTCAACATTACGGAAGTAGGCATCCCAGGAAGCATGTACAGAAGTGGGGTTAGTGCGCCAAGCTTCATACATCTGAATGGGTGTACTAGATTAGTCGAATCTGATTCAATTACCTGCTCAATGTAAATCGAAGAAGATCCATTCATAAAAGGCTCGTGCTTTACGGCAGTAGCTGCGGACTGTCGGCGGACCTATAGAAAAAGTTTGTAGAATTGTAGGAGCATATCACATACTTGAATCAATCGTGGTACGGAAGGAGATGTCCCTGCTTTTCTGACTGCGACGGTAGCAGCTCGGCTTGGCGAAGCGAGACGACACAGCATCCCAGCTCGATGCATGGTTAGGGGGACCCTGGGTTTGATCTGAAAATCTCAATGCTCAAAACAGAAACTATGAGGAAGACATGGAAGCACAAAAAGAGAAGTTCATGAAATGTGCTATGAGAACATAAGCGATATGTTCTTCTGGCAGAGAACAGAATATTACATTTTTAGATATCTTGAAGCATTGTGACATCAAGTACGACTAGACGCTCTCCAAATTTAAAACATCCTAATGCATTCGCGCAGTAAAAAACTTTTTTTGCTTACTTCTTTGAAAATAACATGATCTTTCGTCTTTTCGAAAACTATAGATCATTAATTCATAGCTTCCGCTGCATATACATTTTAGGAGATATTGAGAACGTCAAGTATAATAGAAAATTGAAAGATAAAAACAAAATTTTTTAGAAGAACGAACGGAGATGAATAATACGAGAAAGCATAACATCAAGCATTAGAGAATTTAAAAAAAAAAAGATCAAAAAAATAAAAACGATTGCCGTGATGTAGAGCGAACGATCGCGATATTTCGGGAGAGAGAGTATACACACATGCAATGGAGCAATCGATGACGAGCATAGATGCATGTAATATTCGGAAACAATTTGCAAATTCTTTTCATTAAAAGATAAAATATCTGTAAAGGAATAGAGACAACGCAACATGACTGGATGATAAGCCATACAAGATCGGTTAGTGGTTCTTGATAAAACCCAAGGAAATCATATTGTTAACAAACTTTCGATTGATAGAATAATGTCTGACCATATGCACTATATGAAACGGAAAAGAAAAAGGAATAAAAGTGAAACTTAAATTTTAAAAGAAAACCAACATGTTGCCGGAAACTTAGTGCGAGTTACGTCAGAAATGCGTAGGTTTAGCGTAAATAGTATGCACTGAGTGGGTGTCAACAAAATTTTCTTGACTCTTTTTTCGCTCTGCGCCTATCCATTTATGGAAATTTGCAGCGCAGTATGTGCTCAGAGTCCTCCAATCCCATGTCAAGTTCATCTTGGATATTTTCGATAAGGAGGAAGAAACGAGGGGCTGTTCGATCAATGTGCGTTGGGTATAGGGTTGCCGTTTTGTGGTTGTCCGTCCGCCAAGAGGCTCAAACACTTCTTCCAATGACGTAATCACGACAGGCAAGACGTGGTCGAGGTCTTCCTCGCTAGAGAAAAAGTGAGACGATGAAGGGCAAACAGAAGTCGATGATGTTAGGGCTATTCGAACGAATCCCCGAATAAGTTGATCTTAAGCGGAGTGAAAACGCATTGCATTGTAGTATTGTGATATTTTCAATGAAATCGTTGAATCCGTATTAAAGATTGAAATTTATTATCGAGGAGACAAAAACAACAGTTGTGTAAGATTATTCTCTTGAAAGGATGATGTGAAAAATGAATTTCAAACGAAAAAGCATCAACTATAGGATAGTTGAAGCATTGAAACTTTCCTCGAGCAGTTCCAAAGTTTGTTAATGAAAAGCTGAGAAAAACGAACAGTTTAGAAGGACGCTAATCATGGGATAGAATATTGAAGGCCGTTCTACAGGACGGTAAACTGAACATTGTTATATTTGCTGGAAGTTGTAAAAATCAAGAAGCGCATATAGGAGTCTGGTGTGATTCAAACAAAAATCTAAAAAAGCTTGTAGGAGGAAGAGAAAGAAGGGATGGCAAAGCGGCTGTGTAGTGAACTACAGCGGCGAAAAAATCTAGGCAAGATGATGAGAACGAATAAGAGAAGAGAGAAGGGTTGAGCCAATGATCGTGTTTATCACTGATTTCCCCAGCTGTTTGTCTGGCATATATCGACTTAACTCCAGGGATATATCTTTTGCTTCCACTATTCTTCTACATCTCTCTCTCATCCACGGTTTTGGTTGATTCAACTTGAATAATCAGAAAACTAAACACACTAAGGGCAGTTACAACGCTTCGAAGTAGAAAACATCTTTTCTATCTTCATCAAGAAATAGAATCAGAAGTGGTGAGACTTTTGAAAAAGGAAATAACTATTATCAGATGGAATGCCCCAGAAAGTTTTTTCAGGGGAATTCCTCTATTAATCACATGTCATGACGTCATATCATTGAGAAAATGAGAGAAAGTGAAAGAAATAAGTTTGTTAAAGATGGATCCTGGTATGATCACATGTATAGTTGTCGTTTTCTCCCTTGAAGTATTTGAAAACGCATTGAGTAAGATATTGGAAGACAGCTTGAGACATAACCTCGAATTTTGTGCTTATCGAAATAATATCTGTAGAATTACTGGTGATGAACCTATTAGAGAATGAGCAAGATGTGCAACCGTTCCTTCCATTTATTTCCAACCGAATGAAAGCTGTAGTTAACCCACGCAGACAATTTGAATGAAAACTTCATGACGTGAACGTGGAGATAAAGGATTCTCACGTGCTAAAACATGCAGAAAGAAAACGTCAAGATGTGTTTAAACGTTATCTTTTATCATTCAATGCATGTAGTCAGTTTCTAAGTGATCTGTAATTCTTAATCAAAAAAGGATTTGAACTGGAGAATTAAATAACAAAATTCTATTTAATAGTAGAAAAAATAGAGATAAAGATAGAGATAAAGAGAGAAAGAATGGAGAAAAGGAAAGAGAAAGAGAAGAAGACGGGAAATCCAGACAGTCTTTCGCGAATGTGCCGTTCTTCAGCGTAATTTCTTAAGATAAGGAAAAAAGCATGATGTTTACTTAAGGAAAATAACTGAAGGTTCGAACCAACGCGGAGGTGGCGCCAGTTCATAGAACATACCATTCGTTCTGATTTGAAGTTCTAAACTTATCAGATAGTTAATGCTTTTTCACGCGTCAGTTTTAAAATTATCATGCAGAGATCAATCGAAGATATAACATTCACGAAAGTCTTTATAAGCTGCTCCACCCTATACGCTTAGTTCTTATCAGGACTTTAGTTAGCCATATATATTAGATTGTTTTCATTGTCAGCACCATCCTTATATTTCCAACTTCTAGATCGTGAAAAATGAAAGTAAGAACGTATGCTATCTATGTTCTTCTAACAACCCTCGGAGTATTTTTATGCGATGCTTCAACTAAGCATAACGGCATCGGACCAATAACTGATCATTTCAAGCATTTTCTCGATGAGTGAGTTTCTTCTTGCTAATTCTACTCCTACCATTCATTGTAAGAAATGATTTTCGGACCTTTTTTGTGCTCATTAATTATTCTAAGCAACTCCAATTACTTAGTTGCTCGTGCTTAGAAATGGATACAGCATGTTTGATTTTCCTCGTGCCGATATGTCTGATTTTGGAAGTTTTGGAGGAAAGAAACAAGATTCTGATAAGGTTCACTAAATCCATCTTTCCTTTTCTGAACCTTTCATTTGAAGATAACTAATTACCCAGTCGTTTTCATCCATGGCAATTCTGATGCAGCTCTAACAGCCAATAGTTTCTCAACTGGGTGGACAAACACAGTGAACGTAATTTACTCGCAGTTTAAACATCTGATTACATCGACCAATTTCAGTATTTCATCAAGAAAGGATATAACTTGACTGAGCTTTACGCCACATCATGGGGCAACACAATTGTCAGCCAGGCATCTTATAGGTGAGTTCGTTCTCAATTTTTCTTATGAAGATAAGAGCGTGAAACTGAATGGAAAAAATTTCACGATAACGTACCATTGTGATGTCTCGAAAACGTTTTGCATATTTCATTTTACAGAAAGCATGACTGCAAAACTGTGATTCGTCTTCGCAAATTTGTGGAAGCTGTTCTTGCCTATACCAAAGCGGATAAGATCAACTTCATTACACATTCAATGGGAGTGACTTTAGGAAGAAAAGTTATTGCAGGAGGAAAACTTGATGATTTGTCCGGTATTTCTTTATCTTTTTATTTTTATTGATCATGAGATTTAGAAACGTGTGATGTAGGATCCTCATTGGCATCGAAAGTCAATGTGTTCCTTGGATTATCTGGAGCCAACTTTGGGCTGTGTTCATGCGCCTCCAGCATAGTTATTCCTACTTGTAACGTTCGGGTACACATTATCGAAGTTCTTATTCTATTTATTGTCGATCGTTTTAGAATGGTTTTTATCCAGGTGACTTCTGTGGTCCACAGAACAACGCATTATGTGGTAAGAGCGCCTACCCACCAAGTTGTTTGTCTAAAACTTACTCTGAATACCTTATGAATTTGAACCAGGATAGTAATAAGATCGCTGACAAAACTTTCAGTGCATGGAGTCAAGGTGAGAATTCTGAAGTAGAACAGAAGTCAAAAAACGAATTGCAGATGATGAGTTATTAGGAAACAAAAACTATGTGTGGGGTAACTTCACCAGTCTTATTGTGCATTCAACTGGCCATAAGGTTAGTTTAGATAGCTGATGAGATAACATATTTCTTCTTAATTTTTCCAGATATATAATGGACTTACTCACATGCAAACGAAAGAAAACACGTCATCAGATCAATTCCTCATGATAACAACTGGTACCATTCCAAAATAACAACAAACTTTCATTGGAAAAAGCCTGTTTTGTATTTGATTGAGGAAGAATGTTTCATTTATTCACCTCCACTCATCATGATTATGAATTATTTCAAAAAAAAAAGAAAAAGAACTTCCTTCCTGTGCAAAGTGTACTTCTCATCAAGTATTGTAATATAAAGTATTAATATAGAACATTATTTTGAGGATGACTGTTCTGTTTATTCAAAGTTCACGCAAGCTGAGCGCTCCACGTAAACTTCCTCACACTTTTTTTCTCAAGAGACCGCGAGCGGTTGTGCATCACAGTTATCTTACTTAACTTCCATACTTCCTTCTTTTCTCAGTTATTGTTTCTCCTGTTTTATCTCAAATCTTCCATTTTCCTTATACTGAACGTTTTGATCTATCAATGTTCTATATTGTTGATCGTACAGTTCGATGTTGTAAAATTATTAAAAACTGTTTTTCGGAGCATAATGTCTGCTCGCAGATGTATTGTGATACAAGAACAGCAAGTCCCACCCATTTCATATCATCTTCAATTACATTTTACTGTACTATTCGACTCATAAACTGAAAGTTGTGATTCCACTATAGCACTTAGGACACTAATATTCCTTTTCTCATTCATTTCCTCAATAAACTTCTTTACTTTAATATTTCGTTTAAAGCTGATCTTTCAGTCCACCACGTATATCTATCATTAAAAGATATTGAGGATATTTTGCAGTCACATAGGAGGAATGCACAGTACACAGTTTGGGAGCTTCCTCTTTTTATCATTTCTAACCATTAGTCACGAGCTGAAGTGTTATGAAGGTGAGTCAATAGTCGTAAGAGATAGCTCTTATTCATTTTGTAAATCGTTTGAAGTAATCGTCTCCACGTGGTAATGAATGAAAAAAATAAAATAAAATTGTAGGATCGAAGGGAGAAATCAAAGGCGAATCAACAAAAACTTTCGTAGAACAACAATGTGAAGAAGGAATGCAATACTGTTTTGAATCGTTCAATTATGATCAAACAGAAGTTACAGCTCAATGTCAATTACGGAGTACGGATCAGAAACTTCTTGATATTTGTAAAGTTTGTTTATTTCATATCGATTTTCATTCCTAAAAAGTTTATTCAAAAAATGCCATTGATATGCACAGAAAGAGATGGAGAGAGAGAGAAAGATGGAGAGAGATTATCATGTGCGAGAGTATGATAGAGAGAGAGAATGAATGAAAAATGAGGAAAATATTAGACGTCAGCTTTTCTACAAATTGAAGGACATTAGGAAGAGGTTGAAAAACGAAATAAAAATCAAAAACACATGTATCTAAGAGCAAAGATCTCCAATTACAAAAGAGACATTTTTATTTTTCTTTCCTCTCAAAAAAAAAATTTTTTTTTTCATATTTTATTTTGGAATTGATATTTTTTATTTAATTAATTAAAAGTATATAGAAAGTTCAATTAAAATTTTTTGCCATTTTACAACTATTACAATAAAAAATCTGATTTATCAGTGATAATTATATTTTACTTGAAGACACTTGGTTGACTTTACTTGATAATAAGCTGATAACCTTTCGTTATCATTGCTAATCGATAATAACACAAAACATTCTTAAATCACTGTATAGCTTTCACTCGGAAACAAAAATATTTGCATAAACTGTCTGACGCAGTTTACGAGAAAAGCTCATTTCAACATTACTGATGGCGTGGAACGGTTGTACGAGTTGCGCTCTCTCATTCACTCTCTCTCTTTCTTTCTCTTTCACTACGTAGTTCCGTTTGAGTTCAAGTTCAATAACCCTTAATCATCATAGTGGGAGTTCAAATTATTTTCATTCCATTGCAGGTAGGATGTGTTAATCATACAGATGTACGCATAGTAATTTGCTGCTGCGATCAAGATCTTTGTAACACATCGCCATATAATTTCACTACGCCAGATGTAGAAGATGAAGAAACGACAACAGTTCTAACTACCTCAACTGGTCCAGATGAACCAAAAGTCAAAAGAGAAGATGGCGTGCAAGATGAAAATGGCCAACAGGGAACAGAGCTACCGGAGTCTAATGAAGCAGACAAAACAGTAACGACACTGAACTCTGAAGATGAAGATAGTACGGGTGAAACATACCATCCTCAAAGTAAAGAAGCACGTAAAGTAAGAAGACTCAGAAGAAGATGATGACATGTAAGGCATATCATAGATTGAATATCTCAAGTCTGATTCGAATCGAGTTCAATAGATAATCATCGTGTATGTTCCATTCTCCTATATGTAAATATGTGATAATGTTAAACATCTTCTCCTTCTACATACATACATATCAAATTGTAATTTTTAGAAATATAATTATAATAAATAAACAGTTTTAAAGTTTAATAGTCTTTCGAAGAATGCTATCATTTATAGACTATAATTATCAGATCTCTAGTACTCTCTCTATAATTCTATTCATCTTCATTCATCTCTTCATCATTTCAATCTCTTTGTCTCTGTCTGTTCACAAGGGAATATAGACAATCTCTTCATTTTCAAACAAAACAAAGGTTTTAATTAACTTTTTTTTATTATGGAAATCATTGAGACGTTAATTATTTCCTTAATTTGATTCTCTTTTTTTGAGCAATCATTCCATTTTGCAACCCTGAATTACTGCCTCAGTCCCACCTCTTCTCCACTTATATATTATATCATTATTCATGCCTATAGACTGAATTTATGACACAAAATGAACAATAACTCAGTGAATATAGTACGATGTGTATTTTATATTTCAACTTTCATTGCCGTTCCATCCAATACATTCCTCTTGATTATCCTATTGAAACAGCAGAAGATGAAGGATACCTTATTTCCATTTTTCATCCAAGCAACAGCTATGATCATGTTGGTACTAACTATCCTCTACGCTACTATTCAGCCAGTAAGTTTCAACTTCCTCATATGGTATTCTCTTTTTTAATACATAATTAGATGAAACATACATGTGTGTAAACACACAAACAGTTTGAAGATGAAAAAAAAACTTTTTGTGTTGTTTTCGTTTCCATATCATTCGCATCAATCACGTTCACACGTGCTCTTTCTCATAAAACGTGTCTGAACAAAGCAAAAAATGATTTTAGCTCTGATTCTCATGAACTATGATAATTGGCTAATTAAACAAATTGTTTCTCATCTTATCAGGTTGTTCTAATACATGATGGAATGCATTATATGATATTCGCTGGATTAGTATTTCCGGAAACATTTAAATATTCATTATTCTTCCTGTTTAGTTTTCTGAAAATTCTTTGTTTCCTTAATTCATATTTCGGATTTATCTATCGATACTTTATTATAAGCAGGTTAAAGCTTAATTGATATGTTCAAGCATTATAATTATTTCAGAGGTATGAGCACAAGAAGTAAAGGAGTTATCACTCTGGTGATTATATGCATTCTCATTACTATCGCATATGGCTCTTTATATTATAAAATATATAAAAATGCTCTAGATGATAATGATCTTGATTTATTATATTATGTACGAGTAGTACGATCATATACATATAGCCAATTACCTGTATCATCCATATATATGTCGCAATTTGTAAATTCCTTTCATATACTCAACATCCATGGCATATGTTTCAGAATGTCAAAGTTGCATGCTTCATGAATGCCTTCAGATTGACAGTCGTTATCACATCTGCTATCCTTCATTATCTAACCATCACAAAACCTTTTCAATCGCAAAACTTAAGCCAACGACGAGTTCTTTATAACAGAGAGCTAAACCATGCTTGCAATACTACAGTAAACATTCTGGAAATTTTCAACCAATTTCAATCTAATCATTCAGGCTGTTATAGTTTATTTTTTTATGATTGGTCCTTATTTCTTGATGGATGTGTTTTCTCTTTTCAATTTGAGGACTCATCTATTTACTTTGCCATTTGAAGCTTTCTCAGCGGCAACGACAGTCGTTGTCCCTATAATTTGCATAGCAAATGTTAAGCAGTTTCGTAAGAAATTCTTAAGTTTATTACCTTTCAAGAAAGTTCAACAAGAACAATCAATTTCGAACAAATAGCTTCAAATGATTATTCTTCATTTTCTTCGAAATTGTATTGTTTTCGTGATCAACCGCTCTTCACTGCAATTGAGTATTAAAATGAGAATTTCCTTCCTCTTTTCACGTTCACGTGTGTGATATTTCACGTGTGCAAATTAGTACGAAATGCTTATATAAAAAAGTATTTATTGTATTTTTGAGTGAAAAAACCTAGAGAAAATAAAAAAAAAATGCTTTGAGTAACAATTGGAACCCGTTTTGTATGCGAAATAGCATGTAAAAATATAATAATTATCACATAGGTTAGCTCAACATGATATTCCTTTTGATATAATGACAAAAAAAAAGAAAAGAAAACATATAAGATAGAAGCTGTCGAAAAGACACTGTGTGCTATCATTTGATACTAAATGATATTAGTATCGAAAAACAATGAGCAAGTGACATTTTGAACAAGAAAATGGTTGAAAGAGAGGAAAATAGATGTTTCGACTCGAATCCTTGAGCCATGTGAATGAGAAATAAAAACTAAATTTGTACAATTCAAGAAGAGAATCATAAAAACTGAATTTACAATCCTTTTCTGTTTCTTTTATATTTACAAATGTCATTTTGGGGGGTTTAGTTGGTGAGTTACATTGACGTTAGAACGTCTGGTTCCTAATGTGTAAGCTTGATGTTAAACAGTCGTGGCTGTTTTTGCTGCAGGACGTGGCTGATGATTTGCCACTGGGTTATTCTTATAATAAGAGAGTAAAGCTTCCATATGTGGATCTGTGTTTGATGGAATTCGGCTAGAAGACAAGGACGAATTCATTGGACGTAGTTTTGACTGTTGAACGGACGATGATGTTGATGATGGCAACGTGCTTTTGGTCATTGTGGAAAAGTAAGCCAAAGGACTTCGTCCAATGGGTGGTTGAAAACGTGGTAAGATCGTATTCCCATTGTTGTTGTTTATGGAAGACGAAGACGAGGAAGGAACATTGGACTGATGTCTGAAAGACGTAGGTTGTGACGAATGACGATGGACAGGAATGTTCACATACGGGACAGAGGTGGAAGAAGCTTGTTGATTGCTTTGGACAGACACAGGGAATGTTGTTACACGTTGAGCTGATGGGGATCTACTGGATGATTGGTTCAAGTGATCATTTTGCGGAGGAGATCTGAAAATATTCGTTTAATTTTATTTTGTTGAATTATTGTTCACCTTAAGGAGGACCTCCTGTCCAGACTAGCTGTGAAACCAGCAGAACAGCTGACACTGTTTGGCAGAGGCTTACGCTTTTGATTCGACAATTGAAGAGTAGCCGAGCTTCCAATAGTTGTTACTGGTGGGTTATCAGCTGTAGGAGTTGCGTCATCATCCGAAGGTGTGGACTTCGTTCGAATGGAAGATGTTGATGGCATTTTAGCTCTTGATGATATTCCATTCTGACTGGACGGAAGAGCGTGGGCTGATACAGCGCGCTTTCGAGAGTATTGCTCGTCCTGAGAAAAAACAAAACAGTGAAATCTATTCTCAAACAGATTAACAAACCTGAATAGTTGGATAATGAGCTTGTCTATAACTACTTCTGTAAGATTTCGATCTGTACCCAACGTTTTCGAAACTGAAAATTTGCAAATTCTGAGAATGAAAAAAGGTAACAAGCTGTGTTTTCAACTGAAGTTTCGTGTTTGAACAAAGTTAAAACGGAAAAAGCAGAGATGTTAAAAAAAAGGAAAAGCTTACTTAGAAGGAGAAGCACAAAGAGCTCCATCATGCGTGTTATATGTCATAGATGCTGATGTGGTCATTTTTGGATATTCCGATGGTCCTCGTAAAGAAGAGGACGTACTGTTACTCCTGGGAGAAGAACTGGTACATATGGGATCGGATGATGATGTCATAAGCATTAAAGAGGAAGGTGGTGATGTGAATCCTGTGATCGAAGATCCAGATGATGAAGCTATCGAATCTCTTTCATTGAGAGAAGCTTGTTTGCTGTAAAAGGAGAAGAAATAAAAAAAAATTAGTTTTTGATAAGTGTCATAATCAGGAAAGAAGAATTGTGAATGGTGATTTGTTGTGAAGCAGATTATTCAAACGAGGGAACTTAATTTTCAAAAAAAAGTTAGAAAAAATCAATACCTTGGAGTTCTGCGACTGACGGTTATTGGAATTTCTTGATAATCAGATATATAATCATCATCAACTGTTTGAGACGTTCCTAACTTGCTTACATCTTCATCGTGAGCTTTGTTAAACAAATCAGGAATTGATCCCCTGGGTGTTGTGGGACAAGACTTAGCTACTGCTCGTGTCAATAACTCTCCAGAAGAGCAATAGCCGGTCCAGTCAGCTGAAAAAAAAGAATATTTACGGATCATAATGACGACAGAATATTTCTGAGAAAGAAAAAAATGGTTAGAAGAATGAGTTCTTAAACGATGTTAGGGACAAGCTGATTTCTGATTTTTTTGTTTTGAACAAAAGAATTTGTTGTTCAACACGAGGATTGATAAAGAACCAGTATAATCTATACGATATAGTTTGATAGAAATGTTTGAACAAATTTTTCAGAAACTATAAATTGTTCTCTGCAATTTGTGGAACATCTAATAAAATGAGGAGAGAAGCATTGTGAGATAACTGTGTTAGGACTCATCTCTAAGATATTTTAAGATAGCATTCTCAGTCTTACAACTAATTCCAAATGTAAATTTGATTTTAAAAGACGCGTACCTTGGTCGTCGTCATCCATCGATTTGGACGAAACATCCGGCTTACTTATAGACAATCGCAGTTGGCTCAAACCCATTTCAAGGCCTCGCAATTTTTGAGCTGCAGCCTGATAATCCTGAAAAATAAAAACATTTTTCATTGTAAACTTCAAATGAAAACATACTCTTAGACGCTTCTTTCGAACACTTTTATTTGTACTTTTATCCATCGCTAGCTTCTCAGCTGCTGCTACAATTCGTCTATGAAGTTCAACATCAGTCTCCAATAGTCCCAATTTATCCGTCTTGAAATATTTGTAATAACTATTTGATATAATAATACAAAGCAAACCTTGTCAACAGCTATCAACCGTTCTGGAATACTGAAAGATGTTCCAATTCGTTTACGGATTTTTGGTTGTGCTTGACCAGGAAACAGAGCAAATTTCATTTCTTTTGGAATTTCGCCCGTATATTCCTGAACAACAGAAATCTAATTGATTATACGAGGAAAAGGTACTCACAGCTTCAAGTAAACAAACATTGAACAGTTCTTTCATCTTTTCCTGGAGCTTCTCATCGAGAAACTGCCTTCTCTTAGTTAGTTTATTATAATGTTCAAGCTCTCGTTTCTTATCGTCATTAACATTTCCATTGCAACCGGAAGCTGTTTCTAAAAAGTTTAATTGGAAAAAATATTGAACACAAAACTTGTTATTGTGAGTTTCAAACGAAAACCCACAAAAAAATGAGAAAAATTCACAAAAAACTCACTGTTGTCTCCGTTGCGCATGGATGACAGACTGGAACAAGAGCCGTCAGCAATCTTCGCCGACGGCATCGATGGTAATGAGGACGTGGAATGAAGAGAACTAAAACAACTCTTATATGCAGAATTTTCAGCTCCACCTACCTCAAGGATGGTAAACTGGAGCCTATGGAGCTTTTGCTGATCAAACGATTCAGGCGATCGTTTAGGTCTTGATGGTTGAGAACTGAACCGCTAGGGTTACGAGACTTCTGAAAGCATAAAAGTTAAGTTTTCGAAGGCTTCCAATGAATATTTGGGAGAAAGGAGAAAGTGGTAGTTTAGTAGTTGAAACATCTTCAAGACGGAGAGTAAAGGGCAGTATCATAAGAATGACCATAAATGCGATAGAGAAGATATGAGAAGCTAGAGAAAATACGGAGTTGAAAAAAGAAATGGATAGAATGAAGTTAGAAGAGTGGAAAAAAAAGATGAAAAGAATAAGAGAGGGAGAGAGAGAGAGAAACAGAGAAACAGAGAGAGAGAGAAGGATATGAAAGAATGAGAGTGAGAAGAAAGACAACCGTTCCTCTCGTCAGCGTGGAAGTGAATGAAACAAAAGCTTCATGATATTCTTACGTGAAAAACGTGTTCAGCGCATACGTTTTAATATGTAAATTAGAATTGTAAATAAAATGTTCTATATATGGTAATAAAAGTAATTTTCGAACAAATTCGTTTTGATTCTAAACGAAAATTCAATAAAAAAGTTGAGAAAAGTAAAAAAACGAAATGAAATGAATGAGAGAGTGGAGTGGTTGAGTGAGATATTCAGAGCTGAACATGACGAGTTTGAGTTGAAAAAAAAAAGTTGAATTGCCAGCATTTTTGACCTTTGAAGCTTTACAACCAATCAAGAATAGGAAGTTACAAACTGATATAGTAATGATAAAGTATATCAAAGCAGAGACATGTTACATGATTGTATGCAAAATAACTATACCATATGAGATATAATAATAAAACCAATAAAAGTATCTGTACATAATATGCCCGTATGTGTGTATGATCTGGTTGTTTTAAAGCTATTAATGTATCCAGCTGCTAACATTCGTTTTCGAGATTTGAAATTTGCTAAAAAGGTCATCAACAGGTCATCAGCATATGTATTCCTAAGTCTGCTGTAGGTACAGACGTTCTTGTTATCGGCTTATTAGATAGATAAACGTAATGAGAGGGAAATTAGAGAGAACATAGAGAAGAGAGAACGTAGGTAGGTGGCAGCTGTATACAGATTTCGCCTCAGCACGTCGAGACGACTGAGATATATGTGTGTTATACACATATTAACGAGAAGAACATGAAATTAAAAATCAAAATTTTCGGAAATGAAAACGCTTATTGAGTTATTTGAAGTTGAGCTTAATAGGCTTCAAGCTTAAGGTTCTCAAGACAAATATTAAAAGAGAATGAGATAAGCAGATGAAGGATTCGAATTAATTATCCAATTGAGGTAAAGGAAGAGAAAAACAAAGAGAGAAGAGAGCAATGCAATTAATCTGATGACTTGTATGCAGATTACCAGCCTCATCTGGTCACAGGTGTTATCGTGTTGGCTTAATCTATTCCGTCATTCCCACCTTCGCACTCTTTCTCTCTCTCGCTCATTACGAGAAAACGTCTGTACTCTCTAACAGGCTTATACAATAATTTGAATAAATCCTTCTAACATCCAAAAGAATTTGTGTTCTTCCCGTCTGTCGTAAATTTAGGATTGAGGATTAAGAGAGGAAAAAAACAAAGAAAAATAAGACTTAAATGATTGGTTAGGTCTGAGTGACCTTTCCTAGCCATTTGCTCAAAGTAAGAAGAACATAAAGCCTTATAAATATTATTAAAATAGAAGTAGATGGTCAGTAGGAGCAATTTATGGAAAGAAGAATCTTCCTCTTGGATTGCATTGTTGTTTTCAAAAACATTCAAACGATTACTAATAATATTCATAGAAAAAATTGTCTGTGAAGCTTTTCTTGTCGAAAATATAATCTTTTAAACAATGTTTTTGTTTAGGAAAAAGGGGAAAGAAGAAGAAGAATTTACAGAAATGCTTGAGGATTCTACCAGAATTCAAACGTGAGAGGTAGAGGAAAAAGAAGAAAAAAAACGAGGAGTTTTATGTGAAAAGATGTCGGGAGGTCAAGTTGTTTGAAGACGTCATTTGTGTGAAGAATCAACAAAGATGCTCAGAGAAGTTTTCAATTTAGAAAAAAGGTGAGATAATGAGAAGTAATTAACAAGAAAGCTCTTAAAAAGTTTCGAAAAATTGAAATGTCAGCTGGTACAAGTTAGACATGAAGAAAAAAAAAGGAGAAGAAGAAGAATATCTCTTGAGAGTTCTGACATCCGAGGACATAAGCAATGAAAGTGGGTGGGGCAAGAAAGCCGAGAACACATCACACACTCTCAACGAAGAAGAAACCTTGACGAAGAACGAGAAGTCAATGGACGAATATTCTGTTTTTCAAATAGCACAACGTTCAAAGAGAATTAGAGAGAAAACTAATGAGAACAAAAGAAAAAATTTGTTTGAAGCAGCTCCAGCTAACAACGTTTACGATACAGAAGACGATGGGAATGCACCAAAAAAAAGTAAGCAAATTCATTATTTTTTGTTGTTTAAGAAATCGGAAGTACTATCGACCACCCTTCGTGCTAATAACATTTCTATTAGAAAGACTATCGTTGTCACCTGTCAATAGCAACTACGAAATGTTCTTGTCGGCTTACGAAACTGACATTTTGGGTCATCTGTCTCTTTTGCCGACTCTACTTTAACCTTTCATCAAAAAGAGCAAAAATGTGAAGACGAACAATAAATATTTGGAACACTTGAACAATTCAAGAAATAGAATGATATTCATGTTTATAAATAATGAACTTAAAATGAAGAAGAGATGAATCAGCTGAGAATGTGGAGAACTGTTCGTGGGCTCTTTTTTTGTGTGCAGTAGGATGAGTCATAGCTCTCACACTAAGAAGTTTATAAAACCTCTTATTCTTTTCTTTTCTGACATCAAGCCATCACTGTTTCACTCTATTCACAACTAAGCGACTTGTAGCAGTATGAATGATAGAAAATCAAAATTCTGTTGAGCGAACGGCAATGAATGTTTGAATTTGGATATGAAACGCCATACATGCCCTTCACAACAAAAAAATGAAACACCCTCTGTAACATAAAAAGTGTAAATTAGACCGAAAATTGGCTCAACCGTTTCTGTTATCTGATGTAGATGAGAATGAAAAGCAATTTTTGTTTTCACGTAAGAAGACGTCACGCGTGCAATTTGAATAAATCAACTAGGTTAACATGCTGTAATGGCAATTCGAATAAATCAACTTTAGAGTTGAGAGAAAAGCATCTGAGCGTTCCATTTTTATATATTTTTGTCCTTCTTTTCTTTCTCACAAACAGCCTGTTGTCCTAAGTTTGACCGTTTTGGCACCGTTAGCGAAATGGTCGGCACGTGTCAACTTACGCGGCATTTGCTTAGAAAAAGACAAATTCAAAGAAACACTATAAATATTAGAGAGATTCTAAAGATAAATTAGTTTAGAAACTGTTGTAGATTGGAGTTTGTTAGTTGGCACTACTGCCGGCTGACTTCTTTAACTTTTTTTAGACAACGGCCGATTGGGTTAAACGCAATGAGAGGGAAAAAGAAAAAAAGAGAGGAACGGTCAGTCAATGGAAGAAACACGAGTGACAGATGAATACAAGGTCTAAATGACTTTCATTTTTCACAATTTTTGAACACTTTAAGGTAAGAAATAAAGAAAAATATTCTTTCAATGCGAAAGGAGATGACGAAATGAGAATCTAACTATGAATGACTAGGCGTTTTATCAAATAATCAGTTGATAAACAAATATTGAATTGGGTATGAAAAGGTGTTGGAAAGATATAAAAATGAGGTAAACCCATTTGATATAGACAAAACAATGAAAATTTAAAACAAAAATGAAGTTGAAAAGGTCATCAGAATTCAACCGTGAGGGTTGTCGAACGTAACAAATGGCTGTCGAGCCTTCAGTAATGATCGCAGAGACTTAATGTCATCTTCAATGACTTACACAGAGAATAACACAATCAAATGAAAGAGAGAGAAGTAAGGATGGTCTCTAAAGTAGTTTGAGTGTTCTTAGACGGATGGCTTTGAGGAAAACAAAACAAAAATGTTGAGGTTACATCTCGCAGCGTTTTGATCTCTGGCAAGCTCTCTTGATTTAAAAACAGATTATCCAGAGAACCATGATGTGATTAAAAGAAACTGTTATTTCTCACAGTATCACACCTTTCTGCGACTTCGACTTAATTCCCTCCACCCCTTCATCTTTCGCTCACACATTCTCTTCACAGTTCCAGTCAATCCACTAGTTGTATCTTCACAGTTTGACAATCCATCTTCCTCCTACTGGTCATATACCATACGTACTAGCCTTATACGTCCTTCATCAATTCAGTATTGTTGTATATGAGATCGTCTGCCGACCATCACTTATGCACACATACGAATGAGAGAACAAAATAATAGAAATATCATGGTTTGCATAAGAAAATATGAGAGGTATGAGAGAAAATGACAACATAAAGAGAACAAGACACACAGGTTGTCAACCACAATAGGTCGGAATTGTTGTGGACGATTGAACGTTAATTTTATTAGGAAACATACATAAGCGGTCATTCCAGAAAAAGAGAAAGAATGAGGTAGTTTCAAGAGAGATAAAGAGGGAGAGAGGCAACATAGAGAGAGAAAGGAGCAAGCACTCTTGAGTTTTCATCTCTTTTTTTTTCATTCATACTATAGTGTTTATGGCAATTGTATTCGGAGAGTAAAAAAAGCGAAATAACCCAAAAAGGATTCATTAACCTTACTTGGACCTCCATGTCCTTTCCTTTATTTGTAAAAACATGAAAAAGAATAAATAAAACAAAAAAACAAAGACGGAATAGATGAAAAGCTGTTTAAGGTGTGTCCATATAGAGGTTAGGTTTTCAAACAAAAATAATAAAGAAAAAGATTGATTACACTGCATGATTCCTTTAAGAGAGCTCTGTGATGAGATGAAAACTCGAAAACATCCATCATTTCATCATTTACTTAGCTGATTTGTTTTTTTCTTTTTTCCTTACAACTGCTTATGGATTGTTTAATAAAAAGCTTTTGTAAAGATTAGCAAGGTTGAAATCAGATAATTTCAAAGATTA